AAAATCACTAAGGTCGATCGTATTTTCAGAAACTTCATTAAAAAGTTTATCAAAGTAACTCACCCACCTATGTTGAATATCTTTTTCTAAGAAAAGTACTTTTTGATTTTCATCTTTAATACACTTTACTTGAGTTAAATCTTTACTTTTCTTTTCTCTTTGTTTGGCTAGTTTATACATATATTTTTCACCCTTCTTAGTATCTAATCTATTATAAAGCTGAATAATTAAAATTTTTTAAATAAAAATTATCATATTATGGAAAATTAAATCTTATAAATTATAATATATAACCAATTAACAATAATAATATATTACTATTAGTCTATTATTTATATAAATAAATATATTACCACCCCACCCAAATTCTTTTACCTGACCCGGCCCGAACCAGCCTGATCTTCGACTGACAACTTGTTATTTGCGGCAGCCATATTATTTGTGTGTTTTTGGCGTTAATAACACAGCAATAATACCACAATAACACCTCGAATTTACTCGAATAACGCCATCATTGAAAACACACCAATAAAACTACGGGCTATCTCAAATAATATCATAATAACACCACAATAACACTGCAAAAATAACGCAATTTAACTCGAATACGCCCTGCCAAAATACACCAACAACTACGCGAGTTACCTCAAATAACACCAGAATAACACTTCAATAATACTGCGGGTTATCTCTGGTCACAATCCTTCCATCGAAATCTTCCATCAAACTGATATGAAACTCTGAGTCATATCTGATGTCTCTACTCTCTTTGAATCTTCATTTGCTCAGTTGAACCCTATAAAACTATCAGACACTTTTCGTCATCCTTGAAAGCTTTTTGGTCAAACTCTGATCTCAATTTCACTTAAAAATTTGTTACGATTATATTGTTGACTCTTTATTGATATCTGCCTATATACATTACAAGCAAGATGTCTCCCAAGCTCATTTTCTCTCAGAAGCAGACGTAACATGAATTTTGATCTAAGCTATTTGAATGGTGGGTCCCCAATAAGGTTTGGAATGGTTTCAGTAAAACCAGCTTCAACATGAAATCAGAGGAAGACTTTCTGAAATTGAAAAGAAGGGCTCTTATGACTAATGTTGCTGCTCTCCAACTCTTGAGAAACCAAAAATTTAGAAAATTTTGTATTCAATCTACAAACTACTTAAAACACCAATTATCTTCAAGATTGGTCCCTCAAATGAAGTCAATCATGCGCTAACTAAAACTCAAAAGCGAAATCAAAATAGGAAACTCCATAAGAAACTAATAATACTGAATCTAAAACATGTCCTTTCGTTAAAGGAAATAGGTTTCATTCACTTTCCAATGTTCAAGGAGAGGAAAATGCTCACAATATAACAGGAATACCTCCACTCAAATACAAAACCCTAAGTCTAAAAAGAAGAAAACATTGCAAAACTGGAAAGTTCTCCTATTACAAAAACCCTCCATATTATAAGGGGATTGTGTCCCAAAGTGAGAAAAGAAGGGTCTTGAATTATGAAAAATACTCAAAATTGTTCTTTGCATGATTTTCAGTGTGTCTATCATACCAATTGTCATTTAAAGCACCTCCTTTTGTTCTAATGTATCTTTGAAAGACTTTGATGCCACATTGGTTATCACTTAATGCTCCCCCTTTTGTTCCGTGTCACATTCAAAAATGAATATTTGAAGCTCTAGTTAAATTAAAAAACTACAAATCACCTTTCCAAACAAATGATACGGGAGTAAAACCCTCACTACTTCCCAAGTCATCAAATATTCAAGAAAAATCAAATTTTAAGGTTGATCCAGTCTTAACTGATGTGGAAGTTAAGAGAATTACCCAAGTTGATGTTCTGTTAGACTTCGACTAGAAATCTCAATATATTTTGATTAACCCAGGGTATGTTAGAGGCGACAAATATAAAAGGACATGAATGAATTTGAGGTTAGTATCAAACAACTCAAAGAAAAGGAAACCACATCAAGTGAAATTACTACTATCATTTCTGTCAGGACTAGATCATCAATGAGGGAATGTTAAGATGACAATGATTTCGAGGACGCTATGAAAAATTAAGGTATAACACCTAACATTCCCAAAATCTATTAAGGAAATTGATACAGAGGGATGAGCACATTGAGAAATTAGAAAGAAAGATGAAAGAAATTTTAGCTTCTCGACATATGGAATTAGAGAAACTAAGGCTATGATAGCTGAGGAGGAAGTCTCTAAGAAGAAAGAAGAATCACCGTCTAATCCTCAAGAAGACCATATCCTGAAGAATTTGATCCTGTACAATATTTAAAAGGGTTTGTACCACCAACCTTTTAAGGTGTTCGATGGAATCAAAAATCCAATACAACACTTAGTTCATTTCTGATCAAATTATTGTAATGTTGTGGGAAGCAACTCCTTACTCTTCCTTTTATTTGTCAATAGTCTATCTCAGCAGCAACTGATTGATATGTTGAATTGAATAATGGGTTAATTAAGATTTTTTTAGAGCTGGAAGATATGTTCAAAAAAAGATTTGTTGGGCTCAATGTCGTGTCACGATTGGTGACTTAGTAATTGAGAATCCTTGGTTGACTATATCCTGAGATGAAGAATTTTAAGCTGGAAATGTGAGCCTCAACTGTAAGAACAACATATTATAGAGATTCTATTAAAAAATATTCATAGTCCATTTGCTTTGTTCTTAAAAGGTTTTACTATCAACACATTTAAGAAATTAATCAATAAAGGAGCTAGCTTATAAGAAGAAACAAAACAATTGTCATTGTTGAACCAGGTGACAACGACTTTATATATGTTTAAAAATACAAGAATTTGATATTACTGCTAGAAGATTTAAATCCCCGGCAACAGCACCAAAAACTTGATAGCGGTTATAGATTTGATAAAGATGTGTATAAAATATTCAATAATTACAAAGTCACACTTATCAACGCAAGTATGTGTATCGCTCAAGTAAAGCAAGGCTCTAATTGAGTCCTGGATATCGATCCCACAGGGAGTATTATTAGAGGCTACGAACTAAGATTTAAAAAATCAATACTTAATCACAATAATATAGTTCAAATTGCATATTTGTCACTAATAGGCAATTAAAATAAAAATGTAATTTTAATAAACTCTTAATTAACTAATTCTACTAATAAAGTTTCTAATGTGAAGTTTAATAGATAAGAAAGCATCCTTCTCCTTGTCAAGAAATTTAAGTGAATGAATAAATTGCAAATTATATTGTGCCAAATAGAAGCATACATATTCTTTACCCTTTGGACCAGGCATAAAGAATATTGACTAATCATATGCTTGGTTACTGAATCTGCGACTAGGCTGGAAGGATACCGGCTCTCACTTCGGAGCTCCCGCGTTCCCCTTGCATGAGGGCTAACATCTACACTTCAGGACCCAAATGATAGAACCGAATTGAGGATTTTATTCTGTCACTCTAAAATCTCCAATTCTACGCCCGATAATTTTTATTTCCTTATTTATTTGCACCCAACTTTCAAAGACTTTGACCTCCCTAAATCTTGGATGTAATCTTCACTTTAGTTGTAAAACTCAATATATTTTAATAAATCAATTGGCCAGATTGAAAGTAAATTAAGATTGAAGTGAAAAGATCATCACAACTTCTTTAACATTCTCATGACACAAATTCAAATCACCATTTCACAAAATCTCAAGACAAGAAGAAAGACAGAGAAAATTACTCAGAACTCATGGGGAAAATACGACAAAACTTAGAATTTACATATAAAAGCAAAGTTATACAAACTTCAATAAGTAAATACAACTTATCTTTAATTCCTCCCTAAGCAAACTCCTCGAAGTTCCTCTGAATCTCTTTATTTCCTTACAACACACAGAATTCTCCTTCGAAGCGGCAAGGAGGAAGAAATCTCTCACTTTCTTTCCACTCTTATAATCTCTCAAAGAATTCCTCACAATACCTAACCCTAAATTACTCTCCCCTGGACACCCTTAGACCTCTCGACACTCTCTAGACACTCTGGACTCTCTTTTTTGGCCTCCAAAATGTTCCTCTTAAGGTTGTAGAAGAGTTTTCAAGAGTTGCCTAAGCGTCCCTTCAAAAATCATCCACATTCAATGCATCTATTGAGAGAACCGTCGTTCTCGCTATCGGAGGCCTCGATGGCGTCGTCGGCGGCCTTTTAGAATATTTAATTATGGACTCTAGGGAAAAACCCACCGTCGGTGCCCAAGATCAAATCTTTATATTTTGGTCCTTTTTGCTCCAAGTTCACTCCTTTTTGCATATTTTTGCTCTAATGACCATAATGCAACATACCTGCAACAAAACATCAAAAATACATTTCTTTTGAGTGCAATATCATCAAAATCACTGTAAAATACGTATGAAAATCTCAACATATTTTTCTTTGGTCAAAATCCGCCCAACTTAACTATTATTTATCCTCAAGTAATTTTAGTACTACATAAAAGTTATAATCTCCTGTGGTAAAGTTTTAATTCAGAAATACTATAAGTTTGATTTAAGTAAATACCATAGTGAGATTTTTAGAAAAAATTCAAGTAATTAAATTGACTTTGTAGGTACAAGAATATCTAGTCATCAAGTTTAAGAGTTCTAGTTTTCTATTCATTTTAAGAATGACTATATGTTGTAATATCAAGTCACTTAAAATATTCAAATGATAGGAACTTTATGAGAACATTACTAGTAAAAGATGTTGTTCCATAAATATAAGTTCAGGAATATATTTAGATTTTCTCTTTAGGTAGGTCCAAGTGAAGCCAAGTTTTTATTAGGCATCTCCTCAAGCTTCTCCTCACTTATATATTTTTTTTCAATTGGATTGCTTTCAATTCTATATATTTTTCTTTTCTTTTCAGGGATTGTTGTCAATCCTTTCTTTTTC